AAACTACGATCACAAAGGTTTTATTTTATTGTATTTTTGAAATGAGCATTACAAAATACTATGTAATATTTCATTGTGTCATTATTGAAGTTAACTTTTTGTATGTGTTATTCTGTCATCTTATGAGACATTTTAAATATTTTCAATTGTTTACTTATGTTATAGACCGGATTAAAAATATCTTTATTTTAACAGCATTGACAATTAAGAGAAAATACGATGATAATTTGCATTGATATATCTTAATTTCAAATAGAAGATGATAAATTTCTTATTGAATACACAAAATAATTTGAAGCAGATTAATGAACACAAATTTATATCGAGGAAGACAAATATATAATTGTACGTATATTGTAGCAAAAGATACTGTTGCAACTGGGCATCACATCAAGTCCACTTCTCTAAATACAAATTTTAGTAGACTCGTCGTCTAGCTGGTTCTAGATAAGTTCCAAAAGAACAGATAGGATGCATGTGGGTGGTAACCTTAGTATTGAGTCTTACACTTAAAATAATTCAATAAAAACACAATAGATCGAGTAATTAACAAATAATATTTCTGAAGAATGAAACATTATGAAATTAAATTATGATTGCGTATAGTACAACGAGTTAACAACAATTCAACACATTAACTACACGCAATGCAACACAGTCTTTGTACCAACTCTGCTCGTGCGTAACCTCATATACTGAGAGAAAAAACTTTAATGTTCACACACGACAAACTATTTTACTGTTTAAAAATGTAAAATTAACAATATACAATTAATTTTCTTCTTTTAATTAATTTTAGTAGGGGTTGCGATCGTCCCAAGCCACGAGCCGCCACTGTACATATAAACAATACAATCATTATAGTGACAAAAGTTAAGTAAATGTAATATCTACTATTTAAAGAGTAGCAAAGAAAACAACGAATTGGTAATAAACAATGTTTGTGTAAATAGACTGTAAATTATTCAGAGTGATTTATAAAATTTACTGACGAGTGGTTTACAGATGGAAAATATCAGGCAGAGACAGCTGATAATTCGATTAGCCTGAAAATGGCTTTCCTTTACACGATCGGTGGCGCTCAGTGAAACTACGACGTCGTGTTGTAACGCTGACAGTACAATGTTGATAGTGACAGTGTTCACTGGAAAGTACGTTGTAAGTCATGGCGGTGTTGCCTCGACGCGCGAAAATTCTCTGTCCACCCTAAGGATACAAAACAAACAATTTTGTTTGTGATGAAAGGACAGCGGTGGTAAAATACTTATGTGGTGTGTGTGTGACTCGTCAACGGCCTTGGTGACGAGAAACGACGTCTTGCGCAAAGTACAATACAGAGATTTCTGTGAACTTTGTCATAACGAAATACCGTTGCCAGGTATTTCCAATATTTTGTACCCAACAAAATTTTAAACACATCTTAATAAAACCATTACTGTTTCAGTTACTGATGGAAGATAAAAATAGAACATTGTGCATTGAAAACAACTAATAATGTTCGTTAATAAAATATAATAGAATATCATAAAAATTCATGAAAAGACAATTTAATTGAAAACAACATAATAAATCAAGCAACAAAGGTTATCCCTTACATATTAATTTAAATAGTTAATGACTTCAATGTCCGACTTATTAATACCATATACACTTTGGTCTAATCTACGGTTATCTACTAGTATAGATAATCGTGGTCTAATCACATTTTAATAACTAAAATAACTAATATTATATTTTTTATAGTTCTACGCTTAATTATTCAGTATCGCAATTACTGCTCAGCGAAATCACGTCAAATCCACGAAGGTATGTGTCGATACATTTTTGCTTTTTTATATTTCTGTTTTTTTCTTAATACTTATAAATATGTAGTTATGTAAACTCGAATTAGAATACATAGAAAATTTAATCTTTTATATAAACCTTACATACAAACCATCTTATAACTATCCGACTAATGTACTAGATAAGTAAATAATAAATAAGATGAACTTTAGTTGGCTTAGGTCACATAACGTACGTGTCAGTAAACTTTAATTTTTTTTCCCTTATCATACCTACTTACCGAAAATCTTTGAATTAATAACTTCTTAGTTTTTATGAAATCAGAGAAAAGTTAACACATAACTTTTGTATTATAAATTTCAATGATCAATAATAAATATAATAAATAATAAAATAATCAATAATAAATTATCAATATTATATCGTATAGTTAACCCAACATAATTTTAATTATAATATATTCAAACAATATGTTTACATTAAATCATAAATTATAATTAAAAAAAAATTATTTTATTTCTATGGTAAAAAAACAGAGATATAAATTTATGAATTTTAATTTAAATATCGTTCTAATATTTATAATTTTTTGTGAGCTTATAATTTATGTTTATCGCCCTCTCTAAAGGCAATTAGTTGTGCCAAAGAAGACGGAAAATCATACTTAGCCTAGCGCAACGCTGATATCGAACTTTAATACTAATGCACCAACACGTTACCGACTGAGCTAATTTGGTTGTCTTAGTTAAACTTAAATCATTTTTATGAATTATATTTAAATTGAACGATAAGTGTCAAGTTCCATTTAAATGGAAAAAATGAAATGTACATATTTTAAAACATCCGAAATAACAGTTTTTAATAAGAAAAAATGTTATGTTTAGTCAAAGACTGTATGATCTTTAGGACACTTTTGGCAGCTAAGTTTTTGACTCCGAATTTTTTTATTTCTAATCATGAGAATATAGTTTATTTGCCGGTGATCTTAAAATTGCTCTCATTGTCAAATCTTTTTGGATAATACATCTCTTTATCAGAACTATTTAAATGCGCTCGTTGATTAGTGTGATTATAATACTATTTACTTGAACATAAATAAATGTAAATTATGTCCTTCAATCGGTCTTGTTATAATATTTTCTATACAGAAAAACGGAGCTAGTTGTTACAATTTTTATTTGTTGTAATTTTTCTTCAACAATTACCCAAAATTGTTGTAAATTAATATATATTTATAGATTCTAAGCTTTCATAAAATTATAGATTATTCAATGTGTTTGTAGTTTATGTACCAAACAACATGTTTAATTTCAGCAAGCCAAAATGTAACAACTTTTCTCGAAGTTGGATAAGTTGTTACATACCGGTGACAATTTATTATAGTAATACGTTTTTATAAAATTAATATTTTAAAAATAGCAAATAAAGTAATGTTGTTATTAAATATGATGATAGTAATTGTCTTATTTATTAAATTTTTATAAACATAAAAAATTAAACATCCCTTTAATTTATAGGCGTGTTAACATTATTTATTAGTGATGGGAAATNTATATTTATTTGTAGACATTGTTGCTAGAGTTCATTAAATTTTTAAAATACATGAAGTAAATCATACTTTCGACAACTCTGTATATTTCATTATTTATGACTTATTAATTACTTTTATGTAACATCCCTTTAATTTATAGGCGTGTTAACATTATTTATTAGTGATGGGAAATATCGAACTATTCGATAGTTGTCCACTATTCAAACTATTCGATAGTCATTCAAAAAATATTCGAATAGTAAAAATATTCGATAGTTACATAATATATTCGAATAGTTTTTAAAACTATTCGATAGTTTATGCTAAAAATAAACTATTTGGTTGTATAAACACAATTTGAATAGTTATACGATAGTTTAAAATATTTGAAAATACCTATCACTAATTTTTACTATTATTAATTGTATAATAATTTATTTATAAGTGTTCGTTAATTATCTTCTTATTATAATTAAGTATACTTAATACTAAATTTTATAACTATTATTTATCTATAGAGCAAAACATACAAAATGATGTTTATTTCATTGACCATTAAATTAATCGAAAAATTAAAATAATAATTCAATTGAAGTATTTTTCAAGTTAGTTCTTTATACTTTATAAAGTTATCGATTTCAAATGGTGTAATAACCAAAAGAAAGAATGGTGTGTTAAAGGGGGAAGTACTATGTAGTATTCTGTAATTGTCATAAAGGCGATAAGGCCTATCGATAAATAAAATCAGTGTGTGCTTGACCCTCCACCGTGCTGGGCCGGAGTGTTAAGTGATCGATTGTTTTGTTAGTTTAATCGAATAATATTTAATTGTCATATTAATTAATTANAAGTGATCGATTGTTTTGTTAGTTTAATCGAATAATATTTAATTGTCATATTAATTAATTATAATTATATTTACAAAAAATATTTTTAATGTGTAGTTGTATACATTTTTTTTTATTAATATTTTATACTACAACTAAGGTCTAATAGTTATTACTTAATAAATGTAGTTAGTGTATTAAAACTACTCTTACCTGATATTCACTGATGATGATAAAATCTTGAGTGTAGATTTATGGTTGTTAAGAATATATTTAAAACTATAGTAGGTATATTAATAAATGAGAATCGTATTTGGTTAATAGAAGCGTATTTATTATTGTAGAAAATGTTAATTATTTTAACAAAAGTATATTTTAAGTTTAGTGTCAAAAGTTAAGTCTAAAAACAAACAGCAGAAAAGAATACGCACGAGTATGTTTGGAATTATTTTTANACAAACAGCAGAAAAGAATACGTACGAGTATGTTTGGAATTATTTTAAATTGATTAACTTGACATTGTAGTGAGAAAAGTGGACAAGAAAGATGAAAGATTGACTGACTGACTAAAGCAGTCTCCAGCCCTTATATAACGTACCACGAAAAGCATAAACAGGGATGAAACGTCTTGATTGTGTCATGCCTTTTCATAGACATATTGAGTCACCAATCCGTTCTACAATCAAAACAAGACTGTTACTTTTTATCACCTACTCCTATTTAATGCTTTCTGTGGTGCCTCGAAGACGCTGGGACAGACAATGACTCATGACTACTTTGTAGTTGCCAAGAGTCAATACTATATGTATAATCGTGTTAGCATATTCTTTTCTGTGGTCTTAGAAATACAAGAGGTATTTATTTTATTAATATTCCAAAGGAGAATATTACAATGGCAACATACACAATTCATTATCACAATTAACACAGTCTCTATCGACACTATTTGGGCTCTGGACTCAACAATTCTACGCAATTTTACATGGGCTGTCGATGTGACGCAACCTCATTATGACTGTGGAAAACAGTATGGGAACAAGGGTGTGTCATTATTAATGACGTCAGCCATCTGGGAACCAATGGCAAACAGCGCAGCTAAACATCAGCGCTAAGATGGCGACTAAATGATCGACTGTGCCACACCACACTACCGGCACATACACGATTAACTATAGTTTATGACAGGCGGTACTTTCAATACACTAAAAAATACCGGTATTGAGATCTACTGGTATTATAATTACTTAGTTATAAGTACCAATTTGCCGATTTCCATGATAAGTGAACTTCAAACAATTTTTAGGAGACTTATTATAAATTAAAAACGTTAATGGTGTCTAGTGCCGTTACAAGATCATGATGAATGTGCAAACACTACTTTTTATGGGTACTCGTACAAATCAATGGCTTAGTTAGGGTTTTATTTTAGGGGGGGATATACATAAGAAAAGTTTTTATTGCCTCCTCCGAATAAAAGAAATTTTAGATTCACCATATAAACGCTTTTACTGGGAAAACTTATCTAACTTCAACCCTTTCCCTCCTGGCAAATATTACTTCATAATTATAATTATGATTTGCAAAACCTAATGCCCGCACTAATGATGTCTTATGTAAACCGAAATGTTTGAAGTTCAAAAACACAAAACATCTCAAAAAATTAGTTTTTAACTTTTCGGTTTGCTACATGATACATTCTATTTATATAAATGATAAAAAAATATTTTTGTATATAACCAGCTCTTAGATTATCTTATAAATGTATATATTAAACAAAATTTCAAAATTATTTTAATTTACAGATCTATGACTTAAAAATAAACATCACTGGAAGCCACTTAATACACAAAATGCATTCAAAAAATGTATTTTTTAGAAAAGTCGTTTTTGTTTTGTTGGGTATTTATTGTTTTCTTATATGCAAATCGACCTCATTTTTAATCTCTCATGAATTTGTTGATACTTCTTTTGGTAATTTTTAAACATTAATTTTATTAAATTATTCAAAAAATATATTTTGTCTAAGTTTTATACAAATTAACAACCTACCTTTATAGTGTAATTACAATTAAAGAGTTTGTAAAACAAAAAGTAACTTTGTACTTTCAAATAATAAGAGTAAATTAAGTTTTACATTTCCGTATAATACATAAAAGTGTTTGTTTCACTTTCAATTCAATAATTTTAGTTATTGTCAATGGACAATAATATAAGCAGATAATGTTTTTCTTTTTTAATGGAGTAACAAATTTTTTCTAACAAACACTTTAATTGTAAATAATTATTTTTTGTTTATTATTAAACATTTATTTTTTTAGGATCTTACGATAGTACATTAGTATGCAAATTAAAAGAAAAATGCACTTATGTTGATTCATGTAAGAATTTCCAGTTGTTTGTTTTTTATTTTTCGGTAATAATAATTTTAATTCTGCTTTCTACTTTTTTAAATAGGCGATAATATAACTTCAATTATTTATAATGGAGAAGCGTTATACTGCAATAATGTAGAAATACATTCTCGAACTAATGCTATAGGGTTGCCAGTATATTTTAATGGACGAATTTTGAAATCAGAAAAAAAAAGTCTTGAATTTATTGTCGATTCTTATTATCCAAATAGTATATATACAAAAAATAATGTTGAGTACGAATCAACTTTTTTCGACATCTCGTCTAGTATAACATATGATCGATGGAACTGTAAGTTAAATTAATTAAGTAATCATTTTTTTTATACTAAAAAAGTTGTATTTGTGTCATAAATTTACATTAACATTTCTTATCAATTAATTAATTTGTTTTATTTCATCATGTGGATTATCTGATTCAGCACAATTTATTTGGAGTATTTATCTGGTTATAATTGTATAATTTATATTTAAATACTTGTTATTTATTTTAATCACCCTAAATAATTTTTATTACCTAAAATCAAAATATAACGACAGAAAATAAATATAACGAAGGGTACCATTTTTTAATTTGGCGAGATGATAATAAATGTGTTGGGTAAAAAATTTTACTAAACATAAACTTGATTGAGGTTTCACATGCTTAAAAAGAAAGCATAACTTTTAAAAATGAGAGCTTATTTTGATGAATTACGTAATTGATTTAATTGTACCTACATTATATTTCAAATTAAAATTTTTGTAGCATGTTTTAATATCTATAAAGAGTGATTGATTTATCGTTAATCTCTAAATTGGTCTTAAAATATTAAAAATGCAAACATTTTTTTTTTTTTTTGGTTTTGTTTAATAATTATTATTTTATGATTTATAAGCAATTAAACATATTAAAAATAAAAACTGAACTTGATAAAACTATATATAGTTATGACGTGTTAATTTTTTTCAATGACAACATACACATTTAAATAACTTTTATAATAAAAATAATCTGACTAAATAAATGACTGTTCGATAACAAATTTTGAACAAGTATTTCAGAAGTTATTAACGTTTAAGATAATTGATTGTATAATATACATTATTGTATATTCGTCAAAAAATAAAGTTCAGTCTATGCAACATTGACTTTGAAATTGTGAACACATGCGGGNTTTTTTATTTATGTTTTTATTGTTATAAATTTGAGTAATTGAGTGTAAAAATGAATTAAAAAATTAAATCTAATTCAACCACTAATCAATGTTACACTGAAATTAAAGATAGATAATGAAAATGTACAGTTGCATAAATTGCAACAATGTTATTGAATGCGATATAAGGACGGCTGATGTGGAAGATCGTGTCAATTGGAAGTTTAAAATATGAGAAGCCAACCACAAGTAGTTGGGATAAAGGCGAGATAAAAAGAACATACACAAACAACATAATCAACAATTAAACAAACCTTGGTAAACGAACATAAGAATATACAGAGTGGCTCAGCATTCACTGACAACTTAAATAACTTTTGATCTAGTCAATATTTCTTACTGGTATATTTTTTTAACAGTTATATGTGAGGTCTATAATTATATCTCAATAATTAATATTTTTACATTTTATTAAAAATATTAATTATTTTAAAATTTTAAATAAAATGTAAAAACATCCAATATAGCTATTTTGTAGAGTAGATTTTAAGAAAAATGTTGATGAAAAAATATCTTATAATAGTTAGTAGTAAATAGTCTGTATCATTATAAAGTTTATGAAAATTTGAGTTAATAACATTTATTATCCTTATAGGGGATAAGGGATGGACCTAAAAATATTAAATTAAATATACATCATTAAATAAATAATTCTTAAAATTATCATTATTTTAGGAGAAATTTAATGCTCAACGATAAATCAATCAACCTGTTTAGTGAGAGTTATAAAAAATACTACACTCAATTTTTTTGTCAATTAATATTTTTTTATGAAATTGAATTGAATAATTTTTTATTTATTCTTATAAACTATATTAAATACTAATTATATCGAAACAAAAACTCTTTTTAAGGATATCTTTTACGCATAGTTATTGAAAGTTAAACGGAAACCTATGAATATTTTTATACCGGCTGATATAATTGGCCACTTAATTATTCGTTTAATGAACTATTAAAAACGGTAGCACAGTGGGGTCGAGGCACAGTGTGGACGAGGCATAGATGGGACAAGTATAGATGATATCTGACAGTGATTAAAATCACTATCATAAGAAACGCTTCGATGCAAATCTGTAGATAGTGTTTCATTTAGAGAAATTGGTGGATTATTCCAAAAGGAACATCAACTCTTATTTCTTTAATTATATCCTGATTAGCAGTTCTTTGATTTTAAAATATAATATATGAATAAATACTAATTATAGTTTTTAAATTNGATCTAGTCAATATTTCTTACTGGTATATTTTTTTAACAGTTATATGTGAGGTCTATAATTATATCTCAATAATTAATATTTTTACATTTTATTAAAAATATTAATTATTTTAAAATTTTAAATAAAATGTAAAAACATCCAATATAGCTATTTTGTAGAGTAGATTTTAAGAAAAATGTTGATGAAAAAATATCTTATAATAGTTAGTAGTAAATAGTCTGTATCATTATAAAGTTTATGAAAATTTGAGTTAATAACATTTATTACTATTATAGGGGATAAGGGATGGACCTAAAAATATTTAATTAAATATACATCATTAAATAAATAATTCTTAAAATTATCATTATTTTAGGAGAAATTTAATGCTCAACGATAAATCAATCAACCTGTTTAGTGAGAGTTATAAAAAATACTACACTCAATTTTTTTGTCAATTAATATTTTTTTATGAAATTGAATAGAATATTTTTTTTATTTATTCTTATAAACTATATTAAATACTAATTATATCGAAACAAAAACTCTTTTTAAGGATATCTTTTACGCATAGTTATTGAAAGTTAAACGGAAACCTATGAATATTTTTATACCGGCTGATATAATTGGCCACTTAATTAATCGAAAAATAAATACAATATTAAAAATTTTACGTTTGGTATCTTTTAGTTACACGTTTTTCTAAATTTATCAACCATGATGTAATTTACATATTCATCTTTTATACATTACAAAAACTGTCAACTTTATTTATCCTAATAACAACGCACATATTTAACCAGCTCATAAAATAGAAAATGTCTGGTCAAACACGAAAAATACTTTATGGTTGATAAATTGAGAAAAACATGTAACAAAAAGTAATCAAAGTAAAATTTTTAATATTGTATTTATTTTTCGATTAATGAATTTACCTAATTTGATGTGAATTAACTTAATGCTAATTGAAATGAGCTAAAACACAACGACGCTACATGTAAAAACAACGTAAATGGAGAAATGTTAAACGACGACAGCGTTTAATATTTTTATGTTTTGATAGAGAATGATATGTTTTTGCGCGTTTACTGTGTCATAAATGCTACTAACCAATATCCACTTGATAAATCTAATGCAGATATTTTGTGCAATTCCACAACTTTAAAACGAAATCGTTCTACGTATTTAATCAACTGTCTAAGTGCGATAGCCAACAGTAGTATTACATAAAGAGAAGTAATCTGTGTTGGATACGCATTGTAGTAATTAGATGAGGAAGTATTGAATTACGTCGATTTTAGTATAATATAAGCTTTACAATAGTAGTAAGCAATTTTTGAACTCTTAAGCAATATAATAATTCCATATAAAAGGGAAACATGAAAAGTATAGGGGGACGACACGGGACGATACTGGGCGAGACGAGACTGGACGTTTTTGTCGAAGAAACGTCGAGTTACGGGTTAGGTCGTTGACGTAAGAATAACTTTATATTTTTTTTATAAGATTTAATTAATTTTTGTGTTAAATTATTATATTATATTTGACTTTGTGTTTGATACATTTCGTAAATAAAATAACTATTTTAAAATCTGGACTTAGCGCAAATATTTAATATTCACGGTGATCTCGAAATTGTGTGTGTGTGTGTGTGTGCGGCTAGAGTCTAGGTTGGACTGCTGGTCCTTTAGTCAATCTTAATAATTAGTGTACGAGCTGGCTAGTGTTTGGGCTTAACCGTCCTTTAGTGGGTATAGTAAAAAGGTAGTTGTGCTGGTGGCTGACAAGGAGCCACCCTTCAGTCTGCTACTTTTGAGCTAGACTGTGCTGACGGGTCTAAACTCTACCCCTTTAGTAGTCCACTAATTAGAGAGATTGGGGCTGATCAGTTTATCCAACGGGAGGACTCGAGAAGAGCTCGGACGACGAACTCGTCGTCAAAATATATATACATAAAACTTTAATAAACCTTTGTGTCTACGTTGAGGCACTACCGACGTACGACAGCATCACAAGAGGGCGTTTTTTTTAGATTTTGTTGTGACTGATAGCGCCACTCGCGCTGCCACCACCGGTTGTGCGAGGGATTCGTCACCACGTTGGATGCTAGTGTGCGTGATTATTGTGTCTCGCCGAACTATTATCGGTCTCTTTTGTGAGTTTTGCGTTCTCACCACCATTGCTAGCCCTTGCTACGTGGTTCTATGGTGCACCTAGCCCATAGTCGCTTTAATGGATCAATCACCTTGGTGATTCGTCGTGGGTATAGAATTGCTATACCAGTCTATGCCATTTTGCGCCCTTCGTGTACGTAACAAGTGCCTCCGTTTGTATCGACTATCCTTGTAGTCTTCAACATTTTAATGTAAAGTATTCCAACTGTTCATTTCTCACCGTCATCAGTCATCTTTCATCTATTGTACGTTACACAGTTAAGTTTTTATTTGTTTGTAATTATTATATTATATTTTATCTATTTTGTTCAGAGATGCCTTGTTGGCCATTTTAGTATTAAGTGACCCCTCCAATCCACAATTCTATGATAGTTTATATATATATTGTTACTTTAATATATAACTCCTTGTCTTGTAACTCTTATAATTTCATTAAGTGTAAGTACCATCCTCAATCTTATATACAGTCCACTCCCTATTTCTATCTCCGGCATAATTAGACAACCCAACCGGACGTTAACTAACCCGTACATTATAACCGGGCGTTCCGTTCAAACAATCTGTTTTAAAAATGTTGACACCCTTAAGATTTTCGCTCTATTTGCGCCATACTATGAACAGTATTATCATACAGTAATTAATATCTGATCAAATAAATGCTAAAAAAAATTATTTGCTTTTTAAAACAATAAGTATATTTTGTGATTAATGCTATAACGAAGAAAAAATGTTTTTTTTTTTTTTGTAATAGATGGATCTATAGATAAATTAGCAGAGGGTAATTCATTAAATTTGAAAAATTCGAACAATGGAATATCATTTAAAATCGATTGGATTCAAGATGAAACGGTGACAGGGTGTATATCAATGACGTATTTTAAAGATGTGGATCAATACAACTCACCAACGTCAACTTCTTTTATAAAAATATATCAAGATGACACATCATTAGGAGAATTTATGCTAAAAAATACAGTAAGAGAAAAACCATACATGACTAAAGCGAGAGTGGATAATATTTGAAAAATCACTCTGTATACTTATACATTTTTATTATCCCTCCGTAAAATTACACACACTCCCCTTAAACCACCCGAGATTTGCTAAACAATTAGGCCCACCTAAAATTACTACACCCGCCGTGTAAATTGAATTTAACGACGACNTACACCCGCCGTGTAAATTGAATTTAACAACGGCCTTGTGACGGCATTACTTGACTCACAAGCGCAAAAGTCTTATACAACCACATAAACACGGAATAGTGAACAAAGGACCCACACTAACACGCGGTTCGACTAGCTTACGGCCACACAACACCCACCACCGCTACTTTTACCGCCCACATCGGAGATCTGACGATTAATTTTACGGCCGTGATCTTGAATAATCTGCAATGTGGCGCATTTCTAGGACATGATTCTCTGATGGATCAGGAAGTCTGTTGGGATTATGCTGCATGTACAATTCATCCAGGTAATGCGACCCACATACGCGCGAATTATTAACACAAAATTTGTAAAAATATGCTGCGGTTTTTAATGGCACGGTGGCACGCACAAAGCTTATCAAACATACATCATATTAACACTCGACCGCCAAGCGAGAACCGTCTGCACATCCATTTTACTAGTGCCAGCCCACGAAACAGAGGCTGACACCACCACTCCTCCCATCGCACACGGAGGCGACATCCCGCGTCGCTTCGTGACACACGGTGCCCCATGCCACCTTTCTTAACCATCCCCCTACCTATAGGTATCTGGTAGTTTAACTGACTAACAGCGCGTGCCAACGCCACGGTGCTAAGTCCAGCAAGTGCCGACAACGACCCACAACAGATTATATATTGAGTCCTGTTCCGGCCGTTAAAGTGACGACGTCGAGGATGTACCCCATTGACAGCGGACGTGTCGCACGACTGGACTTGACGAACCATCAGCACTGCTAACTTTTTGACGTCCGAGGACCATGCCGTAAAACACATCACCGAATTCAGAAAAAGTGCCGCGATATTATGCGAAGATTTTATATATTGTGTTTGTTTTTTTTAATAACCTGTTGCTGCTCATCATTAACTAACAGTTTACAGGTCTCAACCATCAAAACCAATGTCGACTACATTATTGCGACGTGTCATTATTTATATATTATACTTATAAATCAGAATATAAATTATGAAATAGGAGTTCTTGTTGCTATTGGATTAATTTAATAACTCCTTCTAAAAATTAAACGCCACAGATTTGTAAGATTTTTTTATGATAGTGATTTTAATCACTGTCAGATATTACTTGTCCTAACTATGCCATGTCACCTCTGTGTTGGATCTTTTTTTTCATTGAAATTACCCTAAAAAATGGTTAAATTAAAATGACAAGGAAAAAATAAATAATTTCTTTGTCTCTTACTGAAAGTTATCTTATGGACGCTCTTGAGCCAATTAAATATGTAGGTTTCTGTTTAAAAACTAAAGTGAATATAATTTTAAAGGAGATAAAACTATATTTTTCGTGTTAATTAAAGTGTGTAGGATACTTTTGAAAAAAAAGAAATTATTTTTTTTATACTTTTGCGTGAGACATAGTTAGCTAATTAGTTTGTATAATAACCTTAAAGTATTACATTTTCTCATTCCAATTAAATATTCAGAAAGTTCGGATAACGATAAAAATATCAATTATACCAATTATTTCAGCAATTGTTTACCTAAAACTGTGTTAGCTTTTAAATTGTTAAGTAAATGTATGTGATTGTTTTAACGATATGTATCAACTTATATTAAATACTATTAAACCGTATCATAAAGATTACTCTAAATTTTTGTTTGGACAAATTATAATCTAAAACATTGATTATAAATAATACATCTAATATTAACTGAACTACTTTTTAGGATGATAAATTTAAAACATTGATAATGAAATTTAATAGACCATTTGAAAAAAATAAAGAATATTACTTAACTATTACTTTTAACAAATACGATCGTTATTCAGCACTTGGCATAAAACGAATAGCCCAATGTACAGATTCCGGCAGTAAGTATATAATGTCACTCAAATTCGATAAATTATAAATATTTTAATTGTTAAATCATACT